CCATGGTTTGGGCGCAAGAGAAGGAGGGGGAAGCTGGGAGGAGAGGGCAGCTCCCGACAGTAATGGATAGCTGGGGCGTTAAATAGTGCAGAACTTTTTATTAGACACATAGGAGAAGTTTAAATATTCAAAGTGGTTTTCTTTGAAGCCTGGGGAAGGAGAGGAGGGTGTCAGGATGGCTGGGGAAGTTTACTCAGGGCCGGTTTACTCAGAGGCCTGCTTGTCCCTGTTGGCTGGAAGGAAAAAGGGTATCTGGAGGACACAAGCAGATCCAGGTCAGCTGGTGTCCCCCGGCTGGCACAGCCTTTGGGTAGCCCGACACTCTCCTACTGGGCTTGGCTCTGCCAGGCAGGATGACAGCCGAGAGGCAGCCCTGGGGCCTCCTGAGTCCTCAGGGTGAAGAAGAGCTTGTTCAAAGCCCAGCATGTGGGTGCTGTTCAGTACACCAAGGTGGAGGCCCCAGCTTTGGTCGTAAATCTGGATCTATGAAGTACCCACATCGCCAAGAGCATCTACTCTCCTTAGCAGAAATGCCCTGAGACAGGCCCAGATCCTCAGGAGCTGAAGGTCTCTGAATGACTGGTGGAGGGATTGTAGTACATTTGTTGTTATTGTTATTGTTCTTGAAAGGGTCTCACTATGTAGCCCAGCCTATGAGTTCATTTTCAAAGTCAGTTTAATGTTGGGCATGGGGGTTCACGGCTATAATCCCAGCACTCATACCAAGATCCTGTCTCAGGGATGGAGGGACATGGTTCAAGTGGCAGAGCACTGATCTAGCAAACATGAGACCCTGAATCCAGTCTCTAGTACTGCCAAAAAGAGAAGAAAAAGGACTTTTCTTTCTTTTTTTTAGTCCATCATGGGGCTTGAACTTAGGACTTGGACACTGTCCCTGAGTTTTTGTGCTCAAGTCTAGTGCTCTCCCACTTCGAGCCACAGCTCTTCTCATTTTCTGGTGCTAATTGAAGATAAAAGTCTCATGGAGTTTCCTAACCGGACTGGCTTTGAACCATGATCCTCAGATCTCAGCCTCCTGGGTAGCTAGGATTACAGGTGTGAGCAACTGGCACCCAGCAAAGGTCAACTTCTATTTTATTCTCAAACTTCTGTTTTGCGGGACTCTTTTTTGCTAGCTTGTGAGTCACATGATCATAGTATATCAGAAGTCAGTGATCCTTGAAAATCGTTGAGATAACTGAAGTTCAGAGGAAATGAAGTTGGAGATTTTAAGGAATGAGCAAGACCTGGTCTCTCCACCAGGAGCAGAGACTAGGTTGAACATGTTGGGTGGGCTTTATACTGTACCCAGCATGAGCTCCCTTGAGCACAGGTGCATAGAGCTGAGGAATGCTCTGCAGAGGCCATTGGAAATATCCAGAGAGATGTGTGTCTCATCTGAGCTGGGCTAGGAAGGCTCCAAAAGGCTTCAGGCTTTGGAATGCACGTGGATTGGCCCCTGGGCGGCTTGCCAGGCTGGAAAGCAGGTAGAAGTCCAGTTATCAGGAGCTAGCCTGCTACACTGGGAATGGAGGGAGTAAAGGGGGCATTCGTTTCTAAGCAGGGAAATAAATGATAAAAGCAAAAAGGCCCTTAGCCATGGCAAGTGCAGGCTTGAGAGAGATTGGGAGCCAACAGATAGGAAATAACAGATGGAATGTGGATGGTAATCAGGGGTGCGATGTGGGACGTGTTGGAATCTCAGAAACACAGGAGACCACCTCCCCTGAGACCAGCAGTATCCCTGTCCTCATTTAATTTTTTTTTTTAATTTTTTGGGTCCGGTCGTGGGGCCTGAGCTCTGGGCCTGAGTGCTGTCCCTCAGCTCTTCAGCTCAAGGCTAGCACTCTACCACTTGAGCCACAGTGCCACTTCCGGCTTTTTTTCTTTTTGCGTATGTGGTTCTGGGGAATCGAACCCAGGGCCTCATGCATGCAAGGCAAGAGCTCTACCACTGAGCCACCTTCCCAGCCCTCCTCATTTAATTTTATTATTTATTTTTATTTATTTTTGTCAGTCCTGGGGCTTGAACTCAGGGCCTGAGCACTATCCCTGAGCTTCTTTTGCTCCAGGCTAGCACTCTACCACCTGAGCCACAGCACGACTTCTGGCTTTTTCTGTTTACATGGTACTGAGGAACGGAAACCAGGGCTTCATGCATGCTAGGCAAGCACTTTATCAGTAAGCCACATTCTCAAGCCTCCTGTCCTCATTTGAATGGTGAAGGAAATGAGGAGCAGAGAGGTTCAGGGAATGACCCCAGATCACACAGGTCACAAGAATAGAGCAGAGCTGGAAAACGTTTGTAACCGTTTTGACATCGTATACTGTTTTGTTTTCCAGCGGCAAGGATAGAACCCAGGGCCTCTTGGATGCTAGGCAAGCACTCTACCACTGAGCTATCGGCCCAGCCCAGTGTCTTCCTATTACTTTAAATAGATCTGTAGATGCCTGTATGGGAGTAGAGAGAAAGGAGAATATATAAAGAGCAATTAAAAGATGAAGTACATACTAGGACAGGTAGGAGTGCATGTATCCAGGGAGAGAAGAGCTGCAGGATCTGGGTCTCTAGGGTGAAATGTAACATCTGGAGAAGTAATGAGTATGTGTGTGCACATAGTCACAGGACCACAGCCTCAGGCAGTGCACTCTCACTCAAGACCCAAATGTCCTTTGCCTTTGTCCTCAGCTCAGCCTGGACGTGAACGATGCTTTAGATGGTTAAGACGATGTTTGGTCTGACAAAGAACAAGTTCCAGATGTGTGATAGCTCACAAGTCCCTGGCATCTCCTCAGTGGGCACAGGGGCTGGGCTGCTCAAAGTCAGAAGAATAATCCTTAGCATTTTGTTTAGGCCATGTTCTAGAGAGGCAACTCCCTACTTCTTTACCCGAGGCTTAGATGTGCTGGTAGAAGAGTCAACATGGAACTAGAGTGTCCTCTTGGCAACAAATTCACATTCAACTATGGATGCTGAGGGAGGCGTCTTGGCTCATGGCCTTCCTCTTTCCCCAAACTTCACAACCCTGGAAAGCTGATTGCTGGGGATTTGCCACTCAGCAAGGAACCCTCATTCCTCTCTTCTAACATGGCAAGATAGTCAGGAAGCAGTCTTCACTGGTGCCCCACAAACCAAAACCAAGAGGACAGCTCACACTGTCCAGCGGGTACCTCCTCCTCTGCAGGCCCTGTCCCAGGAGCTGTGCATAGCTTGATTTGTTAAGCTGGAGGGCTCTGGCAACTGAGGGAATCCTAAGTGCAAAATGCAGGGAATCCTAAAACCCACCTCAAAGTTAGAGGACTGCCCTGATGCTTGGGGGACAGAGGCGGGGAGCCAGTCAGTTAGGCCCCTTCATTGTCTTTGGCCTGGCCAGGATTAGGTCCAGAAGGCAGGAGGACTGAAGCAAGGAAGCTGAAGGTTCTGGAGACCAAGCCCAGTGAGAAAACCATCCACCTCTGGCTAGGAAGGAGGCAGGGAGGCACTGCGCTCCCCCAGACCAGCAGTGCAGCACACCAGGCCCAATCCCCGTGAGAACAGCTGCCCCAGCCACTGCTCCCTCATCTGTTGTTGGGAACCTTCTGTCTAAACTCACTCTCCTGCCTGGGGACCGAGCACGTGGCATTCCGGGGAGGTCAGTGCCCTAGCAGATCCAAGGCCAGGCAGGGAAGGCAGGCAGGGTACGTATCTGCACAGCAGAAACAAGAGCTTTGGAGGCTCAAGCCCAGCTTGCCATGGTCATGTGATCCTCTACACTTGTCCCTACAAGCAATGGAGTCTGTGTAACATCTGGCAGCTGGAAAGGAACACCAGAGTGGGCAAGGGTGTATGACTCAATGCAAGGCTGGCTGCAGAGTGAGGCTAAACAGACAGCCCATGGAGCACGAGACTGACCAGGTAGGGCAGTAAGGGCAGTCATACTCTGAGACAGAAGGGGCCAAGCATGGCCAGCAGCTCGGGGCAAGGGTTTCCACTCTGCATGTGGCTACATGCTGAGTGCAGTCCACTCAAGCTCCTGTAAGCCATCCCATTCTAAGGACAGCTTCCTGATACCAATTTCTCCTTTCTCAGCTCCTGGACTTATTTCAGCCCGATTCCCCCAAAAGGAGGTGAGCAGGCAAAGATTGGGGGGAAGCAGCAGGCTGACATTAATCGATAGAAGCGGCTCCAAGCAGTTCATGCGGCCTTATCTCTCTCTCCTTTGGATAGCGTGTGTCCGCCGGAGTCCACGGGGTCGGTGATTAATAGGGGCCATCACTCACTGTCCGGGACGGCTGAAAGGCAGTGGGGAGGGGGCGGCCCTCCCCAGAACTGAGATAACAAGCAGCAGGAATAATGAGTGGTGTCACTCCACTTTTCATTTTGATGGAAAGTCATTACGGGAGTCAACGCCAGCGACAAAGAGCCATGAATCAACTGCTCTGCTATGAAATTAAAATCGAATTGCTGGCCACCCTCAGCCCCTACCCTTCCTGGGAAATGGGGATGGGGAGGTGGCTTGGGTGAGGGGTGCTATCTTGGGGCGGGCTCTATCCAATCCCAGAGCAGCCTGTTATGGGCAGGAAGTGGACAGGCAGCCAGTGAAGGTGACAACTCCTGTCTCTACCTTGTTTATCAGACCCTTCCTCCCTAAACCATGTTTCCCCTCTGCCGGGAAGGTAAGCTGTGATTAAGAGGAAAATATGGCTTTGCTGACTCCAACAGACCACTGCCTGACTGCTCCCCTTGGGCGGCTGGCTGGCGCAGGGTAGCTTGGGCGCGGTGATAGGGCGAGCAAGGCCTAGCTGCCTTGGCTATCTCAGAACCACTTGCTGAGCCATCCCTGTAGATCCTAACAGGGCCTTCCTCATCACTACAAGCAAAGACATAAGTCCCTAATCTGGGACTCCACAGTGGCAGCTAATGGTCAGGAAGGCTGCCTGGACCAAGAATCCATGAAAACAGGTACCCAGCCTCAACCACAAGCTCTGGGGAGCTGTGTGAGTAACTGTTAGCAGCATAGCCAAGAGTCTCTCCCTTTTATTAAGTCCAGTTCAACTAGCTAGAAGCAGCTGTGGTTCCAGGCTGGTAAGCCACGAGGCCAGTCAAGACTGCTGTTTGCAGTGAGCCACGAGAGTGTTGAGGCCACCATCTGATGGTAGTTCCTTCCCAGAGCTCTCAATCTTCCAGTCAGTCTGGTTTCTTGCTGGGAAGGATCCACCACAATCAGCCCTGGCTCTGCTGCCATTTCAATGCTGGGAAGATGGGCAGGTGAGACACCGAGAGAGTATGTCACAGAAAAGTCCCCATCAGGTTCACGGGGCGCCCGCCGTACCTCTTAGAGATGTCAGCTTCGATCTGAAAAACAGTTGCTGGGTAGATAGGGATCAAACAAGCAGGTGCAGGGCTTCATTCAGCAGACATCTGGGGGTCCTCCCACATGGCGAGATCACCCCATCCTGTCTTACCAGCTTCTGTAGTTCCTTGGTCTTCTCCAGCAGCAGGTCCAGCTTGGGCTCCAGAGCCGCCTGCTCCTCAAGGGCACCCTGCTGCTTCTGTACCATCAGCTCTTTCTTCAAAGCCAACAGCTGCGACTGCTTCAGCTTTTGCTGGAGGAACTCTGTCACGCGGTCCACATACCTATGCAGAGGGCACTCAGGTGAGCGGGGAGGCTGCCCCACTCCACTCCTCAGGAAGCGATTCCCTGATTGGCCTCCTACCCCCACATCCGCGAGTCCTTCTCCATTAAAAACACCACTCCAGTTTCCTGTTATACCTGGGAAGCAGATTCTGCATAAATCAATGCCACCCCCCCCCCAGCCCCTACCTCTACCATCTGCCCTGAAGACAGTCCAAGGAGAAGGCGATGGCACAGAAGGCATGGATGAGAACTAAGGGGGTCACAGACAGAGGAGGAAGACAAGGACCCAGAGCTGATCAAAATGGCAGAACCCAGAATCAGGATAGCCAGACCTTGGTGAGGCCAGAATCATAAACAGGTGTTGCATTCGAAGACTGGTGAGCCGGCCAATGAGCTCCTGTAGCGTGGACACCATATTAACCATCTTCTCTTTGGTTTGGCCCTGCAGGATGGCAGGAGCCAGCTGAAACTGGCTCACAGACAGGATGTCGGCCTCCTCGCTCATCTCTACTGCTCTCTGAGACAAGAAGATCTCGAGCTAAGGGTGAAAGAGGAGCTAGATTACAGGAAGAAAAGAGCTCAGAAAGCTAGGCCCCCAGACTGCTCAGCATGTGAGAATGCGTGGTAAGGGCTAGACTCTAGGGGAGTCTACCACTCTCACTGCTAGAAATTCCACAGCTGCGGTGGGTCTGGCGTGGCCCCCTCCGCCACTCCTCATCCCACCATTCTGTGTCAGGCCTACACAGTTCTGGACCTTCTTTCTTCCCTAGCCTGTGGGTCAGATAACCAAGAAGACAGACTCAAAGGGTCTCTCTGCCCCACTGGAGGAATTTCTTTTTGCTCCATGGGAGAAATGGGGTTTGGGGACTAGGAACGCATGGGTGAAAAGCTATGGGTTAAGAAAAGGCCAGGGTCCGGTGCCGGTGGCTCACGCCTACAATCCTAGCTACTCAGGAGATCTGAGGATTGCAGCTCAAAGCCAGCCCAGGCAGGAAAGTGTGTGAGACTCTTTTTTTGGGTCCGGTCAGGGGGCCTGAACTCTGGGCCTGGGCGCTGTCCCTCAGCTCTTCAGCTCAAGGCTAGCGCTCTACCACTTGAGCCACAGCGCCACTTCCGGCTTTTTTCTTTTTTTTTCTTTTTGCTTATGTGGTGCTGAGGAATCGAACCCAGGGCCTCATGCATGCAAGGCAAGTGCTCTACCACTGAGCCACCTTCACAGCCCAAGTCTGTGAGACTCTTATCTCCAATGAATAACCAGAAAACTAGAAGTGGTGCTGTGGCTCAAGTGGTAGAGTGCTTGTGTTGAGCTGAAGAGCTCAGGACCAGCGCCCAAACCCCAGAGTTCAAGCCCCACGACTGACAAAAATAAATAAATAAACAAATAAAATAAAAGGCCAGGAAGAAATTAAGGAAGAGACATATCTCCAGTCTATCTTATTTTGTCATGGAAATTAGATAATTTTTGTCCTCTTCTTCCTTTGAGGCTAGAAAGGGGTCTCTTTGGGCAGAAAGAAGACATAACTGGATGGGGACAGAACTTTCTAGAGGTTCTCAATCATAAGCCACTGAGACGGGAAGAGACTCCAAAACAGGGCCCATTTTCCCAATCCAAGAACACTGGCTCTGGGGCTGGGATGGTGGCTCAGTGGTAGAGCGCTTGCCTTGCATGCCTGAGGCCCTGGGTTCGATTCCTCAGCATCCCATAAGCAAAAAGAAAAAAGCCGGAAGTGGCGCTGTGGCTCAAGTGGTTGAGCACTAGCCTTGAGTTGAAGAGCTAGAGGAGACAGCACCCAGGCCCAGAGTTCAGTCCCCATGACTGGACCCAAAAAGAAAAGAACACTGGCTCTTTATACCTTAGTTATGGCAATCATGTTTCAACACAAATGATTGTGCGGCTCCTATCTTGTTAAAAAACAAAAACTGCAACAACTGCATGGTTTACCAAGTCAACTCAAAATTCAGACTGTCTCTGAGCTCCTCTTCTGCTCCCCCATCCCAGCTCCTGTAACAAGGAGCCACGCAGCCTCCTTCCTGTCAGTCAAAGGTCCCCCCTTAAGACCTTTTTGGGGTTCTTTCTGCCTGGGAAGTTTTTTTTTTTATTTTGCCAGTCCTGGGGCTTGAACTCAGGGCCTGGGCACTGTCCATGAGCTACTTTTGCTCGTCTAGCACTCTACCTCTTGAGCCACAGCGCCGCCTCCAGCCTTTTCTGTTTATATTGTACTGAGGAATAGAACCCAGGGCTTCGTGCATGCTAGGCAAGCACTCTACCACTAAGACACATTCCCAGCCCTCCTCCCTGTTTGTTTGTTTTTTTTGTTGTTGTTGTTGGTCATGGGGCTTGAACTTTGGGTCTGGTCGCTGTCACTGAGCTCTTCAGCTCAAGGCTAGTGATCTACCATTTAAGCAGCCACATTGCCACTTCTGGTTTTCTGGTGGTTAATTGGAGATAAGAGCCTTACAGACTTACCTGTCCGGGCTGGCTTTGAACTGTAATCCTCAAATTTCAGCCCTGAGTAGCTAGGATTACAGGCGTGAGCCACTGGCCCCGGCCAGGAAGACTTTTTGCTGGACAATTCACCACTGCTTTGTATGGAGTACTTGCAGTCTCAGCTTAAAGTCACCTTCTTAATAAAGCCTTCCCTGACTTCCAGACATAGAACCACAACCCTTGTTAGAGAAATGAGCTCCGTTCCAAAAGCTTAGTCCACTCCTTCCCTTCTCCACAGCTTAGCATGCTCCCTTCCTAGGCAGCACTAGGCCCATGCAGTAAAGGCAGTAAATAATCAACTTCCAGCCCCCCTTTACCTTGGGATGGCACTTCTCTGGGGCAGCTACCACCATATAAGGCAACAAGAGCCCCTTAGAGTGACCCTCAGCTCAGTGGAGCTGCAGGACCCCTTACCTACTATATGGATGGTAGCCATAAATCCTCGTCCACCATGATGAAGCCCTTGGCCCCCACGTGCATACTGGGGTCTCTGCCTCCTAGCCTCTTCTAGCTCCTCCTAAGCCTCCTAGGTTATATAGGTCACCTCAGACAATAGCTGGTGCTTCTTCTTACTTTTCCCTTGTGAGAAGGGGTCTTTCCCAACAATAAACCTTTCTTTGTCCTCTGTACCTGGATGTCTGCGTGGTTTTCTGGCAAGTTTAATAATCTTTCAACCCTTCTCAGCAGCTTGTCTCCCTCCCGCTTTCTTTTTCTCCGTAGCTTTTAGCACCATCTTACATACGCAGCATTTGTCTAGGTTCTCATCTGCCTTTCCCACCAGAGTAGAAGCTGCGTGAAGTTGAGGCCTTTGAATGTCTGGTTCACTGCTCTATACCCGGTACCCAAGAGTGTGCCAGGCACTTTGGAGACTCACAATACAGATGAGCTGGGGAGCATCCTACCAGGTAAGACTCCTACTCCAAGACAAAGGAAGGACTCAGCACCCTTTGCACTACAGGAGTGGTCAGGCCAGGGGACAGAACTGACATCACCTGTGCAGAGGCAGGCTGCCCCCGGAAAACAGTACCTCCATGAGCTCATCAATGAACTGATTCCGGGTCTCAGGATATTCAAGAAGTGTCAGAGCGTCTGTGCCTCTAGCAACACCTTCTGGAGCTGCCAAAAAGAGAAGCAGACAAGTGAGAAGGGATCTAGAACTAAGGCAGGAAAACCCCACAAATTTGAGAAGCCCAAGGGATGACTATGGACAGACTCATTGCACTAAAGCTACTTCCCAGCCCAAGCCAAGGGAGAGGGTTATCCTCTCCCAATTGCCCTAGCTTTTCTCAGGCTTCCTGCCAACTCTAGCCTGCCAGAACCACAGAGCTGGGTTCAGGGAAGGCTAGCTCTGAGCTGGTGGCAGTAGGAAGTAAAGTGTCATCCTGTACTGCCCTCTAGTGGCTCAGATCACTGCTACACCCTCTCTGCTGGTGAGGAGGAATCAGGCCAAACTTTGGGGTCTAGCCAACATCCTTTAGGTAATCCCACTAAAATGGCTAGCCTATAGTCAGTCTCTAAAAAGCTGAGTCTTCCTACAGAACTTCTCTTCTGCCTCTCTCCCCACACATCCTCAGCAAGACTTAGAGAAAAGTTTAAATGTGTGAGAAGCCTCATCACAATAGTATATTTTTGTGTCTAGACTTGGGGGTTCCTTGAGCACTTACCTTCAGTTCCTGCCTCCAGCACTGTGATCTGTAAACCAGTGGCATCGTCTCCCCAGTCTATCCCATCACTCCCAAGGTCCTGGGTGGGGAACAAAGAACCAGAGAGCCTGGTGAGAAGTCCCCAGCACAGGGAGCCAGAATGGACCAAAACCTTAAGGAAGCCCAGGGCCTGCACATTACAGCTGGATTAAGGTCGACAGACCTGATGCATGGGACAAGGATGGCATCGTGGGCTATTATAACGCCATCCCCAGCCTTGCTTTGTAAAGTACTTCTATACCTTGCCCCAAACCCCAGCAAGAGGAGATACATAAACTCTGGACACATCACTTTTGAAACTGCCTCCTTTGGAATGCACTCATCTTTGGAGAAGTGAACTTGGAGGAATGCCTTTACAGGCACAGACTACGGCTGAAGCAGGATCACAGCAAAGTCCTCCGAGAGATGAACCAAGTGGGCATTCTAACCTTTGACTCTGACTCCAGGGAGATGCCCCAGTCGATTCCAGTAGCCTCAGTAGAGATGTTGGGGCTGGAAGCTGCCTCTGCCCCAAAGTCACCCCAGTCAATCTAGAAAACAGAAAGAATGTCAGCCAAATAAGGTGGGAGAAAAAGAAAAAGAAATGAAAGGAAGAAAAAAGAAAAGGCCAGATGCCAGTGGCTCATGCCTATAATCCTAGTTACTCAGGAGGCTGAGAGCTGAGGATCATGGTTTGAAGTCAGCTTCGGCAGGAAACTCCATGAGACTCTGACTGAGATCTAATTAACTATTCAAAAAAGCTGGAAGTGGAACTGTATCCTTGAGCACAAAAGCACAGGGATAGCACCCAGACCCCTGAGTTCAAGTCCCAGGACTGGCACAGACACAAAAAATAAGAGCTGGGTGTGGTAATCCCAGCTCCTGGGGAAGCCAAGGCTGGAAAATCAAGTGTTGTAGGTATTACAGGACTCAGGACTCTATAGTAAAAATAGTAATATAGGCTACACAGTAAGAACTTGTCAAGAGGACTTGGGCCGGAGGGGGGGGAGGGGGAGAGGGGGGAGGGTGGGATGTATACCAGTGGCTCCTGCCTGTAACCCAGCTACTCAGGAGGCTGAGATCTGAGGATCTCAGTTTGAAGCTAGCCTGGGGAAGAAAAGTCCATGAGACTCTTATCTATAATTAACCACAAAAAGTCAGAAGTGGAACTGTGGCTCAAGTGGCAGAGCACTAGCCTTGAGTGAAAAAACTCAAGCCCAGAATTCAAACCCCAGGACCAGGGAAAAAAAAAAAAAGAAAGAAAAGCTGGGTGGAGAGGTGCTTGCTTTCCCAAAGGCCTCAGGTAGTTCTGTAGGGAAACACACATTCAAATGCAATGGCCTGTATGCTTCCAAAAGAAAGCCCACATTCAGAAGGCACAGGTGACCGAGTGGCTTCTGGTTTACATGAACCAACTTTCTGAGCTCTCCATTTTCTATTCTCTGGTCTCAAGGAGGCCATGCTCTCCTGCCAAAGTCTTGCTCCTATGACTTCTACCCTCCCCTCTAGGACTCTGAATGCAGGTCAGGGTTTGAGCTGGATGTTGATGGGGCAAATGGATTCTAATAAGGCCTCTTTTACCTCATCTTCTTCCACTTGCTCGGGAGGCTCCTCAAGGTGTGGCCGCTCCACCACAGAGGGCTCTTTCCCCGTCCTCCATTCGTACACAGTCGAGTTTCCCCGCTTCTGCACATACTGCAGCATGGGCAACACCTGCTCCGCGGGGCTTAACAGAAGACACAACTGAGCCTCTTACTGACCTCTCAGGAAACCAATAAGTGGGCCATATGGTCCAAGGTGTAAGGCTCCCACCAGCTCAAGTGTATGAAATGCAGCTCACCTGGCTGGATATTGGTAGCCCACACCTGTAATCCTAGCTATTCAAGAGGCTGAGGGGTCTGGGAATGTGGTTTAGTGGTAGTTTGCCTAGCATGTATGAAGCCCTGGGTTCGATTCTCCAGTACCACATAAGCAGAAAAA